GCTGCTCCAAGGCGTGTGGGATGTTCCTGGATCAGGGATCACACCCATGGGTCCTGCATTGGCAGGTGGATTCTTTACCACTGAGCCACCGGGGAGGCCCCTTAGCTGCATACGGTCTTGATGAGGAGGCTCATGACGATGATGCTTGTTTCCTGGGTCTCTCCTGGTGATCACACTGGCTGGACAGGTGGCTTTCCAGATGAGTGAGGTGAAAATGAGCTGTGCTGATTAAGGCACATCCTCCATAACCGGTAGTATGTATCTCCCCATTAATTCATGTTCTTGTTTCCCAAAACTGTGGCCCAAATACTAAACAGTATTATCCTTTATTGTGATTTGGCTTGGCTTTCTCACAAGGAGGATATATTTAAGGGAATATATCCTCCTTAAGTAATCAGTTTTTGAAGGCAGCGAAGCACCGGCGCTATACTTTACTTGTAGGAGAAGGAATAAGGGCCCATCCTGCGTGCTAATCTCCAGCCTGCTGTTCAGTAGCTGGGGGTGCCTGCGTGGCGCTTTCTCTGGCTGGTCTACTGTGGGCGTAAGCAGCTCGGGACGCCAGGTTTTCAGGGAGCCCCTTGGTCCAGGGTCCAGTGGCTTCTGTCCTGCTGATGTCTTCAGTTCACAGCCTCTTCCTTAAAGGGAGCATCTGCATTTATCTTGGAAATCAGTAGACTTTGGTTCCTTTCTTCTCTCCATATAGAATTTGAATAAATATGAAGAGCAAGGTAAACGTTTAAACTTTGCTCACCAGATTGTTGGGTCTAATCAGGAGAACTTTAAAAGATTTCTTAAACATTTTATTATGAATTTAATTAGTGTGAAAATTAAAAATAATATAAATGTATAACTTTAATTTTCTGTTGTCATCCTATCTCTAGTGCATAGTCCCTATTAATATAGCACCTATTACTCCAACATTTTTCTATACAGAATATATAAATATCAGCACTTATTTGCGCATATGTAAATAAGATCATAGCATAAGAGAACATTCTTTTGGCTGTGCTGGGCCTTCAGTTTTGTGCACGGGCTCTCTCGAGGTGTGGTGCATGGGCTTCTCGTTGCTGTGGCTTCTCTTGCTGCTGAGCATGGGCTCGAGAGCATGCGGCTTCCGTAGCTGTGGTACTCAGGCCCAGGTGCCCTGAGGCATGCAGACTGTTCCCAGATAAGGGATGAAACCGAGTCCCCTAACCACTGAACCATCAGGGAAGGCCTATAAATTTATTTTTTAACTGAATACCATGTCATAGATATCTTCCTTGGTCCACACAAAATTCATTCTTGTTCAAGGCTGCCTGGCCTCCATTTTACAAGTGAAATCTGATTTACTGCATCAGCTTCCTTGAGTAGAACATTTGAGCCAGGTCTGAATGTTGGCCTGGCCACTCAGTTCCTCTGGACTTGTTCTGGAATGACTTTGGCATATGGTGCAGGGGTGGTTACTCATTAATTCAACTTTTTAAACAATTGACAAACAGTTTGCCTTTAAACACTTAGAACTATTAATTTTCCTATTAATCTTTGCCATAGACAGTTTATTCCTAATTCTGTGTATCTGGAAGAGGAGGAGCTCTTTGTTCCTAAAACCTAATTAAATGCCTGATTCATTTGTCAGATTAGGAGGCGGTTTCTCTGGTCAAAAAAAAAATACAGAAACTAACAAGGACCAGTTGGCCAGTTTCCACCTGTGTCAGGGTGTGAAAAACTTGGGCTTACTATTTTTGCTTTTCGGTTTTGCTGTTTCTTGAGCCAAAGTAACTGAAAAGCTCAAAATGGAGGTTCCTAAGGTCCCTATTAGAGCGTTTCCCAGGTGGCTCAGATGGTAAAGAATCTGCCTGCAATGCAGGAGATCTGAGCTCGATCCCCGGGTCTGGAATATTCCCTGGAGAAGGAAATGTCAACCCTCTCCAGTATTCTTGCCTGGAGAATCTCATGGACAGAGGAGCCTGGCAGGCTATAGTCTATGGGGCCAGCAAGAGTTGGACACGACTGAGCGACTAACACACTTCACTTTTCTTCTATGTGTTTAGAAGCTTTTGTTTGTTGCTGTTGTTTAGTTGCTAAGTCATGTCTTTTGTGACCCCTTGGACCGTAGCCCACCAGGCTTCTCTGTCCATGGGATTCTCTAGGCAAGAATACTGAAGTCAGTTGCCATTTCCTTCTCCAGGGGATCGTCCCAACCCAGAGATCAAATACATGTCTCCTGCATTGCAGACAGATTCTTTACCACTGACCACCAGGGAAGCCAAACCACCCAAGCAGCAACATTTCTATGAGAACATTTTAACAAGGCTCACCTCCTTGTTCACATAATTATTAGTCGTTCACTTACTCATTCACAAACATTTATTGGCCAATTGCTGGGTGTCAGGCCTTATCCTGGGTACAGGGACTACTGAGATGAAGAAAGCACTTACTTCCTACCCTCCAAGGGCTGACCTGAAACTTAACCTCTGTTTCCTTCCTGAGAGAGAGAGAAAGCGAATGTGGCAAAATGTTAGTAATCGGTGAATTTAGTAGAGGGTGCATAGATATTAATTATACTTGTCTTTCAACCTTTCTATGAAAAACCTCCCAGTTTTTCAGTGTGGATCCTATTGGATTATCCCCAGCCACTTAGTGAAGATTTAGGAGAGGAATGGTAATAGGATATTCTGGGGATATGTGTGCATGTACTAAATTGCTTTGATCACGCCCAGTTCTTTGCAACCCCATGGACCCCATGAGCCACCAGGCTCTTCTGTCCATGGGATTCTCTAGGCAAGAATACTGCAATGGGTTGCCGTTTCCTACTTCCTACTCCAGGTGATCTTCCGGACCAAGGGATAGAACCTGAATCTCCTGTCTCCTGCATCGCAAGCAGATCCTTTACCCACTGAGCCGTTGGGGAAGCCCATATTCTGGGGATAGGAGAGGACGAATGAGAAGTCTGGATAAGTAACAGATGTGGTTACCTGGAGCCACACAGCAGGAGCCCTGAGGCAACTGGGCACCCAACAAGGAAAGGGGTTAAATAGGAAGGAAGTGGAGGTGGAAACCCAGGCATGGGCTCCAAGCCCGAATCCTGCCCTACCCCCTCTCTAGCCAGACCTGAGCGTTCCGTGTATGTGTGGTTGGTGGGGAGAGGAGGCTGGTACAGGTCTGTCACATTCTGTGCCCTCCACTGGCAACCACTGACCTTTGACTTGAGCATAGAGGTTAAATATTTGAGCTTTGGAGTTGGCAAACTTTGTGAGAATCTCAGCCTTGCAGGGTGAACTTGGACCAGCTAGTGAATCCTGTTACAGCCTGGATAGACTTGCAGGGGGTTATGTGATGCTTTGAAGACACGGCTGTGTGTGAAGCAGTTAGCACAGGGCCTAATTAATAAATGTATCATGACATGTACCATCCTAGCCAGCGATCAGCTGTTCATCTGCACACTCACGCAGACGTCTCTGCTTGATGCCTCTTTGCCTCACCCACCCCACAGATGTAATCAGCAGGTTCTGTCCTCTGCTCCCACACACATCCTAAGTCAGACCCCCTCACTCTCTCCAAGGCTGTCTCCAGTTTTAGCTGCTGCAGCAGTTGCCTGACTGTTCTTCCTGCCTGCACACTGGCTCCCTCACCCCCAGACGTTCTCCATGGTGGGCTTTCTCAAGCTCAGTGGAGAACGTCACCTTTCTTCTCAGCCTTCTTATGGCTTCCCATCACCCCGACTCTCACATCATGACCCAAGTCCCGCCCAGCCCTCCAGCCTCGCCTCCTGACCCCCCCGCCAGCTCCCTGCGCTCTACATTCTGATCTCCCTTCTGTCCCTGCCATGCCGGTTCACTCTCACTTCAGTCTTTCAGTTGCCCTCTCTGCCTGAAACACATGTCTTCACATGATACTCCTTTTCCTCTCTGTCCTTTGGGTCCAGTTCATTTCTACAGAGAGGTTCTCTCTGGCCATCCTGTCTAATGTTGTGTACCACCTCCATCCCCACCTACCTGTTTCATTATCTTTAAAGCATTTATAAAGTGATCTTGTGTGTTTATTTAACTCTTGTATGTCTCCCTTATACAATGGAAGCTCTAGGAAACAGAGTGATAACCTTGTGTTTTGTTCAGTGTTCTAGCTTGGGATGCCATAACAAAATATGGCAGACTGGGGAGTTTAAGCAACACAGATTTATTTTCACAGTTTGGAGGCTATGAAGTCTCGGATCAAGGTTTTGGCAGGGTTTGGTTTCCAAGGAGAGCTCTCTTCCTGGCTTGCAGACATCTGCCTTCTCACCGTGACCTCAAATGGTCCTTTCTCCATATGAGAGAGAGACTGTTCTTATAAAGACACTAATCCCTGAGGACTTTCCTGGTGGTCTAGTGGTTAAGATTCCACACTTTCAATATAGGGGGTGTGAGTTTGATCCCTAGTAGAGGGACTGAGATTCCATATATCATGTGGCATGGCAAGAAAAACCCCAAAAAGCCAAACCACTAATCCTACTGGAGCAGGGCCCCACACTTATGACCTCTTTTAACCCTAATTACCTCCTTGGAGACACCACTTCCAAATATAGCCACCTCGGTGGGGCGGGGAAGGGCTTCAACATAGAAATTGGGGGGAAGGGGACTATAAACATTCAGTCCATAATATTCACCTCTGTGGTGTCAGCATTAGAACCTAGAAGACAGCCTGACATGTAATGTGTGCTAAGTCCCTTCAGCTGTGTCCAACTCTTTGTGACCCTATGGACTGTATGTAGCCCACCAGGCTCCTCTGTCCATGGGACTCTCCAGGCAGGAATACTAGAGTGGGCTGCCATACCCTCCTCCAGGGGATCTTCCCAATCCAGGGATCGAACCCACGTCTCTTATGTCTCCTGCACTGGCAGGCGGGTTCTTTACCACGAGTGCCACCTGGGCAGCCCTGACACGGAACAGGCACTCAGTAAATCCTTGAACGGATGCAGGATGAAGCTGACTTCCCTGCGAGCCGTGTAAGTGGCCCACCTCTAGCGCTCCATCCTGCAGGTCAGGGCGTATCTCTGTACATCCCCCAGCCAGCCATCAATGCCACGGTGGAAGAGGACATCCTGCTCTCGGTGGACTACTCCTGCGACGGGGTCCCCACCATCGAATGGAAGTACACGTCCAGCTGGGGAGTGCAGAAGATCGTGGAGTGGAAGCCGGGGACTCAGGCCAACATCTCCCAGAGCCACAAGGACAGGGTGTGCACCTTCGACAATGGCTCCATCCAGCTCTTCAGCGTGGGCGTGCGGGACTCCGGCTCCTACATCATCACGGTGACCGAGCGCCTGGGGAGCAGCCAGTTTGGCACCATCGTGCTGCACGTCTCAGGTGAGACGCTCCCGGGGCCCCCGGTGCCTCTAGAAAATTGGAGTGTGTGGGAGGCCAACTTGATATTCAGGGACGTTATCTACACCCTCCCCCCCACCCCTGTAGAGATCCTCTATGAAGACCTGCACTTTGTCGCTGTCTTCCTTGCTTTTCTCGTTGCTGTGGCCGCACTGCTGATCAGCCTCATGTGGGTTTGTAATAAGTGTGCCTATAAATTCCAAAGGAAGAGAAGACACAAGCTCAAAGGTAATTCCCCGGGACCGTCACCTTCTTCTCCCCAGGAAAGCACCCCCGCTGAGTGGCAACTCACAGTCAATGTGTCTTTTGCTTTGCAGAAAGCACAACGGAGGAGATTGAGCTGCAGGACATAGAGTGTTAGCCAAGGCCAGACCCAGTGACATTCCTACCTCAAGAGGAAGACATGATTTTCCCATGAAAGGAAGACACGCGGCCAGTCCCGCCCGAGCCTCTTGTTCTGCCCTAGCCACCTGTTGCTGCATGCTGACGAAGCTGACTGCCTGGAGCTGGACTCTGGATTGGACCACGTCAGTCCCAGTGGCGTGGATGTCAGCGAGGAAGAGGGCGGTGCTGTGGGCCGGCCCAGTGCCCCATCTGCTTCCTCACTGCACTCTGCTCCGGCGGGGTGGGGGGCGGTGGCGGGGTCCCCGTGCCTGTGTGCCCTGTGCTCAGGCATGTCTGAGTCTGTGACCCCGTGGACTGTAGCCCACCATGCTCCTCTGCCCATGGGATTCTCCAGGCAAGGACACTGGACAGGGTTGCCATTTCCTCCTCCAGGGGGTCTTCCCAACCCAGGGGTCGAACCCAGGTCTCCTGTGGCTCCTTGCCTTGCAGGTGGGTCCTTTACCTCCTGAGCCATCGGGAAGCCCCATAGCAGAGGCGGGAGTGTTTCCAGACCAAGCGTGCAGTGCTGTAACACGCTCTCTGTGCCCTGGTCTTCTCTGCCTGTGGCCGCTTCCAGCTTCTCCCGTGGGGACTGCTGTGAGCACCTCTCAGAGCAGGGAGGGCACCCCCCTCCTCCCTGTGGCTTGGAGCTTTAGGGAGAAGAGCTAAATTTGTTCTGGGGGACCACCACTGGGAACAAGGGACAGGGAGAGAATTGCCTTTCTTTTCCTCTCTCACTCCAGCGTTAATTAGACTTTCCCTCCTGAGGCCCCAGGGGAGGCCACTGTGAGGAGAGCAGCTCATCTCCACGCGGGCAGCCCCCTGACAAGCTGGGGATGCCGCCTGTGTGAAGGCTGCGGCCGCCGGATGGGCAGGAAAGTCAGCGTGGGCTTTGAACCTGCCCCCTCAGTCACTCAGGCTTCCCGGCACGCCAGGGCCTCGCTGGCTCCCAGCGGGCTGGGGAACACCTGGCCCTCAGCTACCTCACCCTCAGAGTATCAAGGGAAGCCCACAGTAGCACAGAGCACTCCGAGCAATTAAAGGAAGCTGTGAAGACTCTTCCAGAGCCTAGGATGCAACGAGCGCTACGGCGGGTCCTGGAGAAAGTCAAGCGCCCTGGAGTACCTACCGGGGCCCCAGGTGCCCCTGGGGATGGGTCACAGCTGGGCCTGGTCCTTAGCCTCCAAAGCCACTGGCCACCATGGGTACCTGTATCTCTCCATGCCAGCCTCCTTTCAGCAAGCTCTAAAGCAGGCCTGAATTTATCTTCCGTTCTCCTTTTCCTCTCCAACATTCTTAGCTACAAATCAAAGGTACCACTCCATTTATTGGTGGAATCTGACCTTATTACCCGTGTCCCCAGCCTTGCTGCAGATTCACCCATGCACACACGAAGGAGACCTAGAACATTGTCTTCTCCCTCCCTCCAAGTCCCCAGTGTCCACATCGCTTCCAGAAAGTTGCCTGGAGACATTAGTATGAGAATTTTGCCTACACACTGTCTCCAGGGTTACAGGAAGGAATCTCTTGGGGTTACAGGAGCTATCATCTATCCAAAGGCATTACTTGATTCAGAATGCCAGAGAGCAGCTAATCTGCATGACTGGCTTGTAGCCCAAGCGCATGACAGACACGGGTCACCTCGGGTCAGCTCTCAGTCACAGAGGTGTACACAGACATACCTGTGCCCTTTCCCCATGCAGCAGCCAGTGGAACCCGACCTCCACCATGGAGAATGGGTTTCTTGTACTGGTCTCCAGCACCATGAGGAAGCAGGATGAGACACGCCAGAAAGGATCAAGGATAACCTGACTGTTCCTTTTTTGCACAGAGAGCCCATCAGCAGGAAATCGGATTAAATCTAGTTAGCTGCCAGAACCTCTGTCCTCTTGACACCTTACCTGCTTTCCAGAACTCTCTCTCTCAGCTTCTCAGAAGTCAGGGGTGGTAATCTTAATAAAAGGAGAAGTGGAAAAGAATACCCAGCGAGAGGTACCAATCCAGATATAAATTAAATTTTCTCCCCCGCCCCAAATCTTCATCAAAGGTTGTTCCTTCAGCTTTCCATGTCTCTATTTTGCACTTTGAAAGCTCCGCCCAGTTTGAATATTCCTGTGGAAAGTTCTTGAGCCTGGGAGTTCTATTTTCCAAAAAAGAAAATAGTAAACCATAGAGGTTTAGCCACTGAACATGTTAAACTATAAGTTATGTTTCAAGCTGTGAAAAAAAATATGTTTTAAAGGCTTAAATAAAACCTGAAAATAAAGCCCTGATCCTTTATTTGTGAGCCTAGCCCTGCAGAGAACTCAGAGGCCTGGAAGAGGTTTCTGTCAGCTGCAGACAAGAAAAACCCTCAGCCAGAGCCAGGGGTCTGGCAGAGTTTTAAATGACAGTGGAATTAATCACATTGATTCTAACCATAAACATTTTTCAGCAAGTCATAAAAACACCATTATTCTCCCCTGCGTTATAACCAGAAGACTAATTTGAAGCTCTTGCTTCCAGAATGTGACTTACAATTCAGTAGAGCCCTTCCTGCTTCTGGAAGGCGCCAAATCGAGGATGTGGCAGGTGTATCACCCGGTCAATGGTGCGTAGGACGCGGGACAAAACGTACATGCTCTGTGGACAGAATGTCCTGTTTGAAACTGTGATCTTGGAAACCCAGAAAGCGTGTGCACTTCTCTCACTTCATGGTGTTCAGGTGGGCGAGGATTGCTGCAAGAGAACCTCAGTCTTGTGGAGTCCCCGCCGGACTTCATGCTCCGAGTTGAAATCAAACCACACACAGCTGAGGAGCCCAGACAGTGAGAGATAGGAAGGTTATCAGCATGTCTGGCTCAGTTCAGGGATGCAGAGACAAGGCCTGAGAGAGGATCGGGTTCAGAAAGGCTAGCTGTCTGTAATGAGGGCAGAGAAGAGGTGGCAGACTAGAATGCTAGGAGATGGAACCACAAGGAGCTGATGTGATGGAGTGAAACTGAAGGGCCCTTGGGTGAAGGAAAACCCTCTCTCCATCATCAGCCTTTATATATCCAGCTTGTTTCTTCTGCCCAGTTTCCAGGGAAGATCAGATGCTTCTAGTTTAATGAAAGATATGTCCTTGTGATTATGGGCAGTGTGTCTCTCCCCAGCTCAGCTTCTGATAAGGAACGGCGTGAATCTCCAGCACATGTGCCTGTCTGCACATCCATCAGCTGTGCCCACTGTAAGCTTTTCCAGCCCTTGAGAACAGTTACTGCGTCCACTATTTATACTGCTTTTAATTAAAATAAACCTTTTATTGTAGTGCAGTGATAGCTTACAGTGAACGATATCAGATTTGTGATCTTGGAAGATTTAGCTTCGGGACCAGGGACCAGGCTTGATCACTCAAGAGCTTTCGTGTAGCAGAGTTTTATTAAAGTATAAAAAGGCACAGAGAAAGCTTCTGACATAAGACACCAGAAGGGGGATGGAGAGTGCCCCCCTCACTAGTCTGAGCAAGGGAGTTATATACTTTTTAACTAGTTATTACAGTAAATCAAAAGAGTGTCTCAAGGTTGTAAAGATCTTACTAGACCCACTCCCATAATTTACATTCTGAGAGAACAGGATTAGAGGAAGGAGAAATTGCCCTCAAGCAGGATACGTTGTTGTTATATAATCCTTAGTCCAGACTTTACACTGAGTTGTTTGTTGTGTAATCATCAGTTCTGTGACTAAGACTAAGGAATGTAGAGGGGGGAAAAAGATGTTTGTCCTTTCCTCCTCCTTGAGAATTCCAGACCCTGTGTCCCCCAGATCCCTCTCCTCCTCAAGGACTCCAGACTTCTTGTCAACCTGCCTAGGAATTGACTCTCTCAGTAGTTGATTTACAATGTGCGGTTAGTTTCAGGTGTACAACAAAGTGAATCTGTTATGTATCAGTTTTATATATATATATATATATATATATATATAGTTGCTCTCTTTGCAACCCCATGGACTGCAGCCCGCCAGGCTCCTCTGTCCATGGGATTTCCCAGGCAAGAATACTGGAGCAGATTGCTGTTTCCTCCTCCAAGGGAGCTCTCTGACCCAGGGATTGAACTCTAGTCTCCTGCATTGGCAGGCAGAGTCTCACAGGTGAGTGTGTGTACGTGTGTGTGCGGGCGTGCGCGCTTAGTCACTTCAGTCGTGTCTGACTTTGTGACCCCATGGACTGTAGCCCACCAGGCTCCTCTGTCCATGGGATTCTCCAGGCAAGAATAGTGGAGTGGGTTGCCATGCCCTCCTCCAGGGGATCTTCCCAACCCAGGTCTCCTACACTGCAGGCAGATTGTTTACCATCTGAGCCACCAGGGAAGCCCATATACATATACACCCATTCTTTCTCAGATTCTTCTCCCATCTACGCTAGTACAGAAACTGACGAGCTCCCTGTGCTGTGCAGTAGGTCCTCATTGGTAATTTATACGTAGCAGTGTGTATACTGGCATTTCCTGGTGGCTCGAACGGTAAAGCGTCTGCCTGCAATGCGGGAGTCCTGGGTTCGATCCCTAGGTTGGGAAGATTCCCTGGAGAAGGAAATGGCAACCCACTCCAGTACTCTCACCTGGAGAATCCCATGGACGGAGGAGCCTGGTCCATCTCCTAATTTATCCCTTCCCTCTACATTTCCCCTTTGGTAACCATAAGTGTGAGATTTATGAGTCTGTTGCTGTTTAACAAGTGCATTTGTGTAATTTTTGCAATTAGATTTCACTTGTGATATCTCCACTACCTTTTAAGCATTAGGTAGGTAGTTCACAAAGGAGATAAAGCCTTTAAAATTAAAATGATATTGAAGTCCGTATATAAAGAAAAAATCAGTCCTACTCAATAAACTCGTGCATCTTTCTAGATCTGCTATATATGAATATATCTGTCTATATATACACATACTACAGTATGCATATTTAAACTATTTTCTCTAGGCAAGTGGAATTCTATTATACACATTACAACTTGCTTATTCTCCTTTAATCTTTCTTGGGCATTATTTCATGTCTCTACCTATTCCTAAATATTCTTACTGCCTCCACAATGCAATTTGTAGTATGGATACATTATAATTGTTTATTCACTTAAGAATTTTTATTTCAAGTGGTATATACAAAAATAATATCTGGGGCAATCTATTATATGAGACTTGTTCCTTCTGCCGAGATGGCTTCCTCTTGTTAACTAAGGTGTTCAGCTATCACCTATGAATCGCTTCCTCTTAGGAAATTCAATTTTTTATAAGATTAAAAAAAAATTTTTGAAGTATAGTTGATTTACAATGCTGTGTTAGTTTTAAGTGTACATCAAAGTGAGTCAGTTATACACACAC